GTGAGAAGGGTATTGGGGTGAGGAGGTGTGAGAGTGTGGGGGTGAGGGGCGTGGGGGTGAGGGGTGTGGGCTGAGGGGGTAGGGAAGCACGTTCACTCAGCCTGGGGCAAATGCGACCCAACCGACAAGGTGGAGCCTTAGAAAGGGAGCCCACCGTGAGCAAACAGTCAGGGAGCAGCATCCTTGGTCTTAAGATGAGACCCCCCCCCCCATCAGGACTCACCTGGGACTGTGGGTCAGCTTGCAGGGAGCCCGAGGAGCCTACAGGTGGCAGCCGGGGAAGAGGCCCCCCCCCAGGGGGGTGTCATCAGCTTTGTTCCTGACAAGTCTGATCCTGCAATAACATAAAATCAGTGCAAATCCTCCAGCAAGACTGTCATCTCCCCACGAGTTCCATCTCTCCGTTGAGAGGAGTCACCCCCAGTGCGCTTCCCCGCACCCCCTAAATTCTTGGGGCACTCGTTTCTTTCTGTAACGGGGGGGGGCTTGTATCTGTGGCCAGGAACGCGCTGGGGTCTCCCGGCTCAGGAGGAGGCTGGGGTCGGGTGGGGGCTGCCTGCACCCGCCGGGGCGCTGAGGCCTCCAGGCCTGTGCTCCCCGTGCTGCCCAGGGTCTGCGCATAGAGCAGAAACTTTGTATCTGGAGGAATTTTCCAGAAAAAAAATAGAAGGCCCGCATGTTGCTGGATCTATGCATTTAAATCCTGCAGCACCCCCTGACCTTTAACAAGCCCCAGCAGGGCGCCCCGTTTGGGGTGATCTGCAGCTAGGGCTGGGCGGGGGACAGAGGGACAGGCCCCAGACACCGGGTTCGCTGAGACACCAACCCAGGGTAAAGGGCGAGGCCGACAAGACAAGGAGGGGCCCAGAGAAAGGCACCCAGCAGACCTGTGGCGTGGGTAGGAGGAAGTGGGGAGGGGTCCTCGGGTTGGAGCGGTGGGTCCGCGGTCCCGTCCATCCCAAACCCTTTAAAGGCCCAAGCGCCCCGGGTCAGGGAGGAGGTCAGCAGATCAAAGCACATTGTTAACAACGTGATACCTTTGGCCCTCGGGGCTCTGCTGGGGGTGGGGACACCTGCGCGGGTCTGCACCGCCCCCCCCCCCGTCGCCTTCCGGTGACCCCAGCTCAGGCCCTGCCCGCGCGTCCTGGCCCCTGCGCGGGTCCCTGCTTCGGGCGCGGAGCATCCTCCACGCGGATCCCCGCGCTCGGCCTCCGCGGGGACAGGGCTACTTCCGACCGCAGGCCCTCAGCCAGCGTCTTCGCTGGTAACCCTCTGCCTGGGGTCGAGTCCCACCACCGCTTTGCTTGGGCCCTGGCCCCAGGCAGGTCCCAGAACACCCCTGTGCCCCCCGTTTCCCCAAGCAAACCCCGAGAGGTTAAACTGCAGTTTAACGGAATGACACCCCCCCTCCTGCAGGACCGGGATCCCCTGGGTTTCAGCTGTGGAAAACGCAGCCCAAGGAAAGGGGGCGGCCGGCAACGACCCTTTTCCCGGAGCCGGGGCGCCAGCGCCCTCCAGGTGGCCTGCCTGTTACCCCTCTGCGCCGCCGGCAGGGAACAGCCACAACCCGTGGGGAGGACGCCTGCCTCCAGGACTCTGCGCTCCCCGACGCACACGATTTGTTCCCAACTTCTTATGTATATATATGTAACTGTATCGAAAAAATGTCCCCAAACAGAAGGCCGTAGGGTGCTGGGTTTTTACACATTTACATTCGGCAGCACCCCACGGCCTTTTAACACACACACACACACACACACACACACATTTCCAGGCGGGAACAGGCGTGGGTTAGGGCAGCCTGGGTTTCTTCTGGGGCTGTATAAACCACCACTGCTGGAGAAGGGGCCCTGCAGGAAGTATTCAGCACCTTGGAGGGAGACCAGCTGAAAGAGAAGGGCGCGATGGGAGCCAGCCTGTGAGAGGCCCCCCAGGCCTGGGCTGCCTCCGCGGGAGGCTGACCCCACCCCAAGTGCGAGAGGAGTCCCTGGAGACTGGGGGTGGCTGGGTGCTGGCCCAGACCTTTGATCTCCTGCTCTGGTCCTTCCCCAAACCCAAGCCCTGCTCCTGGCTCCCCAGGCCTTCTTCAAAACCAGCTGGGACAGGGGAACAGAAACCCCAGCGGCCCGACCACTCCCTCTCTCTACTAAAAAGAAGCTCCGAGAACCCCAACACTATTCACAGGGATGTGATCTGAAAGCCCTTTGGCACCACAGAGTCCACTGGGTCTGAGCCCGACTTCTCCAGACACAGAATCAGAAATTCACCGAAACAGAGGAGCTTGGACGTCCCGGGTCGCACTGCAGGAGGTGGGTGGCTGGGACCCGGGCCTGTGGCGGGCAGGCTCCGTCGTCTCCCCGGGCCCCACTGCGGCGGGCTGGCGTTAAACCAGGTGAGCCGAGCCGCAGCTTTCCGCCTGGGCTCCAGGAAGGGCTCAGCTGGATGGACTGAGGGGGTCGAGAGCTCCCGCTGGAACAGAAAAGGGTGAAATGAATTCCTGTGGGTTATAAAAAACCGTGACTTCGTTGAGGAAGAGGGGGTGTTTGGTGAGTGGAGACTGCACACCCTCCCCAAGGAAACCAGCCCTGGTCCGCGGTAGTTTCAGGTAGGAGACAGGGCAGAGAGCTCTCCAGGATCGATCTTGGGGGAACTGAGTTGGCAGTCACTCCCCACCCCCAGCCTCCTGAACCCCTTGCCCTCAGGACCAGCTGACCTGTCTCAGCAGATGCACGGAGGGGGAGGGGATGAGACTGGGAAACGTGGTCAGCCTTGGAGCTGAGCCTTGTCAGAGGTGGGGGCCAGGGCGCTCTCTCTCTCCTCTCCTCTCTCTCAGAACAGGTAGCTCAGAATCTCAAAGGGGACACGGGAGGGCAGAGGTGAGAATATGTCGTCCTTGCAGTCAGACCTGGTCCCGATAGCAACTCTGAGGCTTAACAGCTACCTGCAGAGGACAAGCCTCAACCTCTGGGAGCCTGTACTCTGTAAAAGGAGGGGACAGGATCCTTCTGGGAGCCTGTACTCTGTAAAAGGAGGGGACAGGATCCTTCTGGGAGCCTGTACTCTGTAAAAGGGAGGGGACAGGATCCTTCTTGAGTCCTAGTGAAGACTAAGGAAGATCATTCTAGAACGCGCATGGCATATCGAGTTGAGTCCCCTCTCTCCACTGAGAGGCAGGGCTGCATTTTCATTTTGTAAAAGAGACGTCATCTAGAGACACACACCACGGGGACGCCGCCATCCCTGTTTGCGGGTTCACGCTGGTTTTTGCGAAGCTCTGTGGCCGTCACTGCGGTTTGCTGCCAGCCTCCAGCCCGTTCTGGGCGTCTCAGAACTACCCTATTGTGATGACAAAGAAACAACCCTGCCGTCAGCTCTCACACAGGTGAAAAGCCTTTGAGCAAAAACAACCCGGTCCCGACACAGTATTTACCTTAAAAAAAAAAAAAATAAAATCCCCCGTGTAGCGGCCGGACCTGCTAATGTGAAGGTTTCCCTGGTCCTGATTTTGTCCTGCTCTGCCCCTCCCACTGTCCCCTCTGCCCTTGATCCACCTCACCTGCGGGGGAGCCAGGCTCCAGAACCTGAAACTCCTTCCTGAATTCCCACACCTGTCGGGAGATAACTCCGTCCAAGGGAGCTATTGACAAAGCCTGGTGTAGGGGGCCACCTTCCTGCTGATGTTTTCTGCTTAAAAAAGCCTTTGAAAGTGCTTTCACTGTAAATATTTAAGGCATGTGGGGGGGGGGGGCGGGGGGGTCTGGATTCTCATTCCACTACCCTGCTCAGCCTTGGTCTGACTTTCCAGGGGGCCGCAGGCAGGAGGAGACGTGGACAGCGTTTTACTGCCTGGGGCCTGGCGGCTAGCCAGGGTCAGAGTGACCAGCCTCAGGATAACTACTGCCCCCCAAGGGGGTACTGTCTTCTGCAAGCCCGTGGGGATCTCCAGGCAGAGAGGAAGAAAGAGCGGTCACCAAGGACCTGCTCCACGGCAGGCAGACAGGTCTCCAAGCCGAGCTGGGGTTCGCAGGCCGAAGGCACAGACGCAGCCGTCTGCGCCGTGACGGGGCGGGGGCTCGCGGTGACATTTGTGGAAGGCACACTCACGCACACATGCACAAGTACGCACCCCACACACAACTCCTGAAACGCACGGCACTTCCCAGAGGAGGAAGAAGGTTCCACCTGCCGAGCGTTGGCCACGGGGACCCAGGAGCGGGACTTGAGGACCCGAACGGTCTTCTCTGTGCTGCGGTCACCAGGCCGAGCGGTTGGTTCTGGAAGCAGCGTGGGCTCCCGACGCAGAAGTGGACACACTGAAGCGCTGACGAGGAGGCGAGAGAGCACATGCTTTTCTGGCTCAGGGGGACGAGAACCCGAGCGGCACAGCGTGTCTTAGGGGCTGGTGTCGGGCAGTCGCGTGGGTCCCACGGGGACCCGGGGTCGCCAGCGCCCGCCGCCCTGCTCAGCACAAGGAGCGCGAGCAGGGACCCGAGGTTGCGCCACGGAGCTTTCTAACCCCTGTCGCTGTCCCCTCCCTGCCACCGCGACTTGGCACCCCAGGCTGTTTAGGACCCCGCGGCGCAGGGGCGGGGCGGCGGGCAGCCGCGACGGTGACAGGTGCGCCCAACGGCCAATGGCCTGTCCGGCGCCCCTCCCCGGGCCCCCGCCGCGCGCGCCAATCGGCGGCCGCGCTGCGCTTCAAGTGCGCGCCGAGGCGCGGGTCCCCACCACGGCGCCAGCGGCCTCCGCCCGGCGCCCCAGCACTCGCGTGGAGTTTGTGCGAGCGCGTGTGAGCGCGGCCCGGGGCGGGGCCCGCGCGGAGGAGGCTCGGGACATGGTCACTCTCGGCTGAGTTTCCGGCGGCGACTTTGATTATTGGCAAATAATCACCATAACAATACCGAACCGTGGGGCTTGCCACGCCACGCACAGACTCCGCGAGCTTGCACACGGCCGCGCCACTCACCACCAGGCCCTGATCGCCAGCCCCTAACGAGCCGATGGAAAAATCCAAAAATTTCCGCATCGACGCGCTGCTGGCTGTGGACCCCCCGCGGGCGGCCTCGGCGCAGACCGCGCCTCTGGCCCTGGTCACGTCGCTGGCGGCCGCAGCCTCTGGCCCGGGCGGCGGCGGGGCGAGCAGCGGGGCGAGTGGCAGCTGCAGCCCCGCGTCCTCGGAACCGCCCGCGGCGCCTGCCGACCGCCTGCGCGCCGAGAGCCCGTCGCCGCCGCGCCTGCTGGCCGCGCATTGCGCGCTGCTGCCCAAGCCAGGCTTCCTGGGCGCGGGCGGCGCGGGCGGCGCGGGCAGCGGCGCGGGCAGCGGGCCCGGTGGTCCCCACCACCACGCGCACCCGGGCGCCGCCGCCGCCGCCGCTGCCGCCGCCGCCGCCGCCGCGGGAAGCCTGGCTCTGGGGCTGCACCCCGGGGGCGCGCAGGGCGGCGCGGGGCTCCCGGCGCAGGCGGCGCTCTACGGCCACCCAGTCTACGGCTACTCGGCGGCGGCGGCGGCGGCGGCACTGGCCGGCCAGCACCCGGCGCTCTCCTACTCGTACCCGCAGGTGCAGGGCGCGCACCCCGCGCACCCAGTCGACACCATCAAGCTGGGCGCTGGCACCTTCCAGCTGGACCAGTGGTTGCGCGCGTCCACCGCGGGCATGATCCTGCCCAAGATGCCTGACTTCAACTGTGAGTACGGCGCAGCCCTAGGGCCCGGGGAAGAACGGGAGAGTGGGGTAGGGGACTCCCGGCGGACGGTTCTCTCGCGCATCCAACCGCCGCCACCGGGCACTTGGCTCCGTCTCGCTCGGTTCCGAGACAGCCATGAAAGCACCGCGAAGCCGCCCCGCTCCGCCCCGGCCTGCGAAGGTTCGTGCGGGCTGCGCGGTGTGGGGTCCGCAGCGAATCGTTAAAATGGCCACGCGCGGGCCTTGCCTTCTTTCTCTTCCAACGGTTAGGGGCAGCCGGAGGTGTGAGGCTAACATCTAATGATTAACCCGGCAGGCTAGGGGAGAAGGGAGTGGCGGGCGAAGGAGCGCCCGGAGCACCCTGAACAGGCCGGCCTGGGGATCAGGAACCACGCGCTCATATGCAGGGAAACAGGCTTGACTTTGTCCCGCATTCTGGGTTCTGGAGAGACCCCTGGCCCGTCTCAGGAGAGGGAGAGATCCAGGAGCAGCGAGAGAGAAATGGCCCAGGGCCGAAAGACCAGGTCCTGGGCCACCTCCTGGCCCTCGCCCGGCTCTGCCTGCCTCTGGAAGGGCGCTAAGTCCAGGGTGTGAAGCCCAGAAGGCAGATGGCCTGACTTGAGCCGAGTGGCGGCGCACAGCACCTGTGGGCAGGGAGATGCACCCTCGGCCAGGAACCCCATCGCAGGGATTCTAAGCAGCAAGTACCCGTTTTTGAAGTGGGGGTGCCCAACACAGAAGTGAACCCCCTCCTCTAGGTAGGAGAGAGGGAGGGCCAGTGGACCATGTGAACCGTTCTCGCCATCACCCAGATGGGGCAACTCCCCAAGGCCTGGGCCGGCCCTGGCTTTGCTAGTGCGAGGCACCCGGCTGCCCTGGGGGGGGTCTGGGTCTCCCTCCGCGGACCCCACCAGGCTCCTCTCAGAGAAGACGCATAAGGCTTTATGCTTCCCAGCGCCCAACACCCAAACAAAGAGACCCCATTGTTTCTGTCTGCGTGGATTTGTTTAGACTGAGGAGATGCAGGCAGGGTAGAGAGAAACGCCAAAAAGAAAACAGAAATAAACACTTGGCAGAATTCAGATTCCTCTGTTAGAAGCCACGGTTGTGACTAAACAGAGAAGGCTAGGACCCCGGAGGGCTGCCGGAGTCACACCCCAGTGAGAAAATCCCAGCTCGGGCTCTGTTTGCCCGCAGCCACCGCGGCCTTTCCCGGCTCAGCTCCCAGTTGGGCACCCATCTCTCTCCGTGGGGGAGTCACTCCCCCCTGAACCCCCACAGGGAGAGGGAGAGCTTGCTCTCACCGCTGGGGGTGGGGGGCTGCCGCTACAGATGGCCGATCCTGGGTCAGGCGAACCCAGGGCACCCTTCCTGGCCTGGCCACCGTGCCCAGCACAGCCCTTCCCATGGATTCATTCCCATTATGACCTGCCTTTCCCAGAGCCGGGTGCTGGGCCCCCACTGCGGGGGATGGTTTCCACACCGGCCTCCACAGGTTCTGCAGCCCCCCGGGGGCTTTCTCTGGCCTCGGTGGAACCCAAGGTCGCTCAGAAAACCGATTATAGCCACTTTTCTTTGCCAACACCCTTTGCCCATCTCTGGTTCCAAATCGTGACCCCGAGGTAGCTGACTTCAAAGGCAGCCAGCGGGAAGTCCAGGAAGGACTGTGAACGCGGATCCCCAAAGGGCAGCAGTGAAGGGCCGGGCCGGGGTGTGGAATGCGAGTCCTCCTCTGGTCCGGAAAACCTATTCGGTTTCTTTAATTGGTCATCTCTGCTGTGAGATGCCATGTCCCAAATGGTCCCTTTGGAGCCAGGGTTTTTAATTAAAGTTCTAATGTATTGTCAAGTTGGGAATTCGGGGCCTTGTTTAACTAAAGCAAGGGGCGTGGGCCTCCCATAAAGCAAATTGCCCATCCCCGGGGAGCTGCTCCTCCGGCCGGCCGGGCTGGTCCCTTTTCTCCTTCCTTTCTTTTATTGTCTAACACTTGTCAGGCTCCTGGGAAATCAAGGGAAGTCTCGTTTTGAGGTCATAAAATTCTCTGTGATGTAACCGTGTGAAATTATGTAAATAGAGTGAGAGACCTCCTTGCATGCATAGAAAGCAAAGTCCCCTCTGCCCAGGCCTTGCATTTGCGTGCGGAGAATTGTCCTGAAAAGGCTTAGTTGGCCGGTCTCCCCAGGCCGGCGGCCCCTCTGTGCCCTGGCGGCGCGTTGTCAAGAAAACCTGTTCAATGGGGGAAGGTCTCTGCTGAATACTGCTGCGTAGGCCCAGGACTGGGTCACTTTTCCTTCCTTCCCCCTTTCCCTCCTTCCTTCTCTCCTTGTCCCTTTGTACCTAAGGAGACTGCACAGCTCCTGGCTGGGTGGGAAGAAGAACCTGTTTGGATCTGGGCCTGAGCTGGGGAAGGCGGGTGGGGGTGGGGGTGGGGGTGCGGTGCTTGTCCCTCCAGCCTCTGCCCTTGTCACCTCTCTCTCTGCCGGTGCTCACCCAGGTGGAGAGGGCGCACTCGGGGATAGGCTGTCTCTAACCAGACCCCCAGACCCCCTCTGAGATGAAAAGATTTGGTCCCAATAAACCCAAACCGCCTGGTTCCGCCTGGCCTCCAGGGCCGTTTCCTGGGGAGGGGTCGCTGACGCCGAGGGCAGAGCAGCGACGCTGCAGGCCCCGCGTTGGAGGGACGCGCCCGCCTCACGCGCTCTCCGCCGCCCGCAGCCCAGGCGCAGTCCAGCCTCCTGGGGAAGTGCCGCCGGCCGCGCACCGCCTTCACCAGCCAGCAGCTGCTGGAGCTGGAGCACCAGTTCAAGCTCAACAAGTACCTGTCGCGGCCCAAGCGCTTCGAGGTGGCCACTTCGCTGATGCTCACCGAGACCCAGGTGAGCTGCCCCCCCACCCCCGGGCCCAACACCCTCCCAGCCCAACGCATCTCGGCCGTCGCCCTAGGTGCGCAGGACAGTTCACGTGCCCCCACCAGGGTTCCTGTACCCGCCTAGCGGTCTGATTCCGTAGGTTGGGGTAAGGCCCGGGAACCTGCATTTTAACGACCACTCCTATTCTGAAGCAGGTGACCCCCCCAAGCCACATTGGAGAAATTTTGTTCCAGAAAGAGGAGGGAACGTGTTGAGACCCACAGACGCCCTAGTTCTTCTTGCAGGCCCAGGGCGCGGGTAGAAAAGGGCGCGGCCCCGTGCGCTCGGGCTCCCGGTCCCCCTTGCGTGGTGCCCTCCGCCCAGCTCCGGTCGGGGCGCAGCAACCCCTGGAGCTTGCCCTCCGATCTGAGCCCCACTCCGGGTGGGCAGATGCGGGAGCCCGGGGACTCAGAGGGACAGAGGGGATGGAGGTGGCGTGTCTGACCCCCACCTGGTGCCCTCAGGTGAAGATCTGGTTCCAGAACCGGCGGATGAAGTGGAAACGCAGCAAGAAGGCCAAAGAGCAGGCGGCGCAGGAGGCGGAGAAGCAGAGGGGGGGCGGGGGCGCAGGTAGAGGCGGCACCTCTGAGGACAAGGGCGACGAGGACCTGCTGGGGCCGCCCGCGCCCGGGGACAAGGGCAGCGGACGGCGCCTGCGGGACTTGAGGGACAGTGACCCCGAGGAGGAGGAGGACGAGGACGACGATGAGGACCATTTCCCCTACAGCAACGGCGCCAGTACGCACGCCGCCTCCTCCGACTGCTCCTCCGGGGACGACTCCCCGCCCCCGAGGCCCGGGCACCAGCCCCTGCCCCAGTAGGACCTCCGGCCATCAACAGGGACGCCTCGGCCCTGCGCGCCCTCCGCAGCCACCGCGGGCCCCAGGTCCCACCGTGGTCCTGGGGGCTGTTGGTTTGGGCCACAGCTCCTGTCTGCTCTTCAGGGGACAGAGGGGGGCCCAGCGGGTTCACACTTGAACTCTTGTTCTTATCCATGTAGTTTTGGGTAGTGTTGGGGGCGGTGTTTGTGAGAAGAGCCGACCGCCATCAGAGGAGGCCTCCCAGCGCCCCCTTCCAGTTTGGAGAAGGCGGAAACCTACAGTGTTAACCGACCTCGAAACTTGAAACCTTTCCTGGAAACGCCATTCTGCTGAGTCTTGAGAAAGAAAAAAAAAAAAAATGTGTGCTTATGTATCTTAGCGGGGGGAAAATTTATGTCATGAGCGTTCACACTGCTAGGAATCTCAAAACCGTACTGTCTTTATTTTTGTACATTGTATTTATATATAAAAAGAAACGTCTACGTATGCATGCTAAATTATTATTTAGCCTCTCCCATCACCCACGGTGGGGTGTAAAATAAATTGGTTTTTTACTGGAGGAGCGTGCACCTCTCTTGTTGTTGAAACGATGGGGGGAGGGTCTTCCCCTGCGACCCCTCCACCCCCTGCAATTCACAGCGGGAGGTCAGAGTGAGAATCTCCGCCTGGCAAGCGGGTGTGAGGGCCGCCTCCTCCGCCGAGCCCGGAGCGGGCGGGGAGCTGGGTTCCGCGGCTGGGGAATCGCAGGTGCGAAGTGTCGGTAAAGCACCTGAGGCCAGGTGTGCGCGCGTGTCCGGGCGCCGGGCTCACATCTGTCCCGGATGCCGCGCCCCCAGGAGAGTGACTCCGGACCTGCGTGTTTATTTTCCTGTGTCCTCGAGGGTCTTCTTGCTTCCCTGGTGATCCAGAAATGAAAACTCGCTCTGAACGTGCCAGAAAAGTCTCTCCCACGGGCTGCACTTGGCTGGCACTTCGGGTCCCCGTGGCCACGGCGCCACCTGAGCACGTCTCCCTCCCACCTCGCAGAGCGCGGCGCTTCCCCTTCCCCGGCACAGAGCCTCCCGAGCGCCGAGCGCGGGGCTGGAACGGTTTTCCCGGATCTGCGCGAATGTCCGCGAGGACAGCGAGGGCGGCAGGAACGCTTCGCGCCCAGGCTGCCCTGGCTCTGGGTTAATAAGCCTCGGCAGCGCGCGCCATCAATCACCCGCGGGCCAGCGAGGTCCGCGCCATGTGCTGCACACATGCCGGCTGCGCGCGCCCGGCTCCTTCCCGGCCGCGGGGCTGGGCCTCTCGGGCCTGGAGCAAATCGGTGCTAGGGCGTTGCTCTTTCTCCCTCCTTCGGGCCTTCCTCCTCCCGCTTCCCGCTCTCCCCGGGCGCCTGGACGCAGGCTGATCCCCTGTCCCTTCTCCCCTCCCCCCAGCTGATAAATGAGTTCAGAAGGGCCTGGCGTTTCATTCGCGTGATTACGGCGCGGGCCAGCGCGGCCGCTCCTCCACCTCGAGGCCCGGGTGAGATTAATATCCTCTCTGGCAGCTCATTATCACCCCGGGCTCCTTCCATAAAATCCAACCCCAGCCAAGGCCGGGGGCGCGACCGAAGGAGCCCGGCGGGAGCAGCTGTTGGGCGCGGGCCTGGCCGCCTCGGGGTCCAAAGGTGCTTTGGGGGACGGGACTGGGTTTGCAACTGGTGGGAAAGCCGGAGGGCCCCGAGGAAGGGGTAGGAGAGGGAGAGGGAGAGGGAGAGGAAAAAGACGTGCCTTTGGGTTAAAAGCAATCTGCAATCGGCGTATATCTCGTTTTAATTTCTAACACATTGGTGAGTTCAGCCTGAAGCGATCAGTTCCCGGGCTGGCTCCACATCTGGGGTTTATTCTCCGCACCCCTGCTCGCAGGCCCAGCGTCGGCGCCCCCACCTCCACACCAGCGTCGGGCAGCCAGGGACGCCTGGCCCTGCGGGAGTGGGGGTGGGGCATCCGCTCCAGGCCTCAGAGAGGTTCCGTCCCCTCGCCCAGGGGGCAGACCCGCTTCCTCTGCGACTGGAGGAAGGGGGCACAGAGGGACATAATTATTATGGCCCCTGTCACCCACCCCACCCCCAGCCGAACCAGCCAGGGCTTGGCGCAGGCACTTGGCCGCGGGGAAGGCCTGACCGCCTGCGGCCCCACCGGCTTCAGCCAGCTGCTTAATCGCGGTGGAATTTATCTCGCTAATAAATTTAATGATCAATTCGTTCTTGTCACAGTTGCTCTTCCCCAAATCAATTATAGCAAATTTAAATATAATCACTGGCTCGTCCTCACCCACTCCGGGCACGGCGAACAATTCATTCCCCGTAATGAGCGCAGCCCGCCCGGCTCTGCCCGCTGACCCCAAGCTGGGTGACTTTGTAGCCCCGAGGACTTGTCCCTGGGACCTGAGCCACGTCCACACAGCCGGAGGAGCGCCGAGGGAGAGGACACGTTGTTTTCAGACAAGCCGAGGCTTCCCGGATGCGACCGAGTGGGACTCTGGCCTGGAGCCCTGGATCCTGGGCCCGCGGCTTGACCCTCTCCAGGGTCGCTCCAGAGGCGCCCGCCCTCTGGGAATCCTGGCCCAGCCCCTCCGGCGCGTGCTCTTCTCTGTAAACGGAGGCTCCCCCTTTCAGGGCGAACCTAGTTTAAATGACAGGAACCTGTGGAAAAAATAGGGATGTTTTCCTCAGTTTCCAGAACCAGGTGTCCGGCCTGTGCCAGTGTCCCCAGCAGAAGGGAAAAGATGGAAAGGAAGCCCGTTGGTGACAAAGAACGCAGTCTACACCCCCCATCCCCAGCTTACGGTCTCCTGTCCAGTCCTGGAGCAGCTGTGGCCCAGGGTTCAGGGCCCCTCAGAGTCTGCTAAGTGCACAAGGGGCCGGAACTAAGACCGATGGGCCATCCTTCCTGTGCTGGGCTTTCCTCACCTTCTCCCAGATGGAAGTGACCTGGCAAACTCAGCTTGAGACACTTTCTATGACAACAAACACACAGACGACAAGAGCAAGAATCGAGGAATCGGATCACAGGAGACACAGACACTTCTGCGCAGCAGGGACCGGCCACAGAGTGAAAAGGCCGCGTAGCCATGGGAGAAAATGCCTGCACACCCTGTCTGATAAGGAGCTGACGCCCACCATGTAAAGAACACACACAACTCAACAACAACGGCAAAGTCCAACGACAAATAGGCAAAGGACTTCGGTAGACATCTCTCTTAAGAAGATGCACAAGTCACCCACTGGCCCTGAAGGTGCTCGGCATCCCCGTTCATCAGGGAAACGCAAGTCAACCCTCCTGGCATCCGCTGGAAGGCAGTTAGGAAAACAAAACAGAAGATCAGTGTTGGTAGGGCGCAGAGAAGCCAGGACCTCTGTGCACTGTTGGTAGGGACGTAAAAGAGTACACGCAGCCCTGGCCCGTGTGGCTCTGTTGGTTCAGCATCAGTGTGAACCAAAGGTTTCGGGTTTGATTCCTGATCAGGGCACATGCCCAGTGTGTGGGTTCTGCTTCCTGTCCAGGTGCGTATGGGAGGCAATCAGTCAAAAGCTCTCTCTCACATTGATGTTTCTCTCTTTTTCTCCCTCCCCCCCACCTCAAATCAATAAAAGCATGTTTTTAAAAATAGTACATAAGCCACTACGGAAGACAGGATGGAGGTTTTTGAAATAAACCAAACGCAAACCAGAAGTACCTTAGGAAACAACAATTCTTCTGGGTTTGATCCAAAGTGCCGAGCACGGTCCGGGGGAGAGAGGTGCTCACCTGTGTCAAGGCAGCAGCACCCTGCTCACCTGTGCTCACGGCAGCAGCACCCTGGACAGCCCAGCGGTGGACGCAGCCAGGTGTCTGTCAACAGAGGGATGGATCCAAAAAAAATGGGCTTCAGCCCTGGCCGGTTTGGCTCAGCGGTTAGAGCGTCGGCCTGCGGTCCAGAGAGACCCGGGTTCGGTTCCCGCTAAGGGCCCTGGTTGGGTCATGCGGGAGGCAGCCACTCGATGTGTCCCTTTCACATCGATGTTTCTCCCTGTCTCTCTTCTGTCTCCTTCCCACTCTATCTGAACAAAAAATTAAAAAAATGTCCTCGGGTAAGGATAAAAAAAAAAAAAGAGGTCTTCATACAGAAAATGGAATATTATTCAGCCTTAAAGAAGAAGGAACCCTTTTATATGCTACAACACGGATAAACCTCCAGGACCGTATGCTAGGCAGAACAAACCAGTCACAAAAATATGGCATAATTCTACTTATATGTGGGGTCTAAAATCGTCAAACTCCCAGCAGTTGAAGGTCGAAGACGGTTGTCAGAGGCTGGAGGGAGGGGAAGGGAGTTGTTGAAGGGGGCAGAGTTTGGTTTTGCATGATGGAACAATTCCAGGGATCTGTTGCCCAAGGAAACGTATCTAATTAACGCTACTGTACCGGACAAAATGGTAATGATGGTTGAAACAAAGGCAGATCTTCCTCCCTTCCTCACCTCCTCTCCCGACTCTCTCCCTCCCCCTCCTCCTTCCTCCCCCTCCCTCCTAAAGGTAGGGCAGACCAGCCTGGGAAAGCCAGTCGTGGAGAAGGCTCGGGAAGGAGCACCTGGCCCCCAGGCCCCACCAGACCTGGGCAGCCGAGGGTCCCGGGCACTAGCCGGGCCTGCAGGGGATTCCCTGGAGCATCTGCCAGGTTTGCGGATTAACTGACCCTGGGGGCCTGCCCTGCGCCCCCACACCGCCTGCCCTGGGGGTGCAGCTCTGAGTCCAGGCCAGGACTGCTCTTTGCGGTGGGGGTGCTGGGAGGGGCCCTGGGTGGGGGCAGCAGGCCCCATGGGGAGGAAAACCATTCGGGGCGTCAGAGCGCTGGCGTCGAGGGGGTGCCCCACAGGACGTGGTCCCCACCCCAAATCAAAGTCCTGCGCGCACGGTGTCTCCCCAATAAAACTAATCCCCTCGGAGGCGTGACCTCCACCAGGAATGCTGCGTGTTCCAGACCACAAGGGCA